ACACAACTACAAACTAGATATATATATATATATATATATATATATATTTTTAAAGGTATGTTTATTCTATATTTTTAAGAAATAATATAATAATTCGTGTAATATGAAAAAATAATTTCCATATAAAGCATTTAGTTATTAATTTACTGTTTATTTAAAGCATTTTTATGAGTATAATCAAAGTTTATAATATGTAAATAGAAATTATTATAAAGAAATTGTATTTTATATTCTAAAATCACAGGTTACAGAATTATATCTATTACAATATTACGATATTCTATTTTAATTTCATATAAATTCCATTTTATATTTTCCTCTATGAAAAATTTCCTACAATTACATAATGTCATTTTTTCTATAATTACATAATATTGTTTTAACGATTCTTTTCTGGACAAAAATATCAAACATTGACAGTATTTGTCTCGGAGTAGGATCTGCAAAAATTGTGTAAGTTCTTTTATAAAAAGATAGAAATGATTTTTTATCTTTTATTATAATATTGTGTATATTTTTGAATTTTTTTTCTCATGCGATATGTAAGATTCAGTTTCTGCAGTTTCTAATTCTTTTTTGATAATTATACATTCCAAATTCAAAGTTATTTAGAGAAATATATTTTAAAGAATCTCGCTCATAAGCGACTCAAGAAGGATTACATCGAATGTTTAATTAAGAACGACTCTTTATCTGAGGAAACTGAGTCGAGTCCTCAGACATATAGTTTTACATTTCTAGTTGAGCATCTTGATAATAAGATATATTATTATTAAACTATAAGTTATTTTATTATATTCGAGAGCAATTGAATCTTTTAAAATAACATATATAAACAATGAAGTTATTTTGCAAGGAAGACACGTATCTTATGTTTGATTCCTTCAAGTAGTTAGTAATGATTTAAACAAATTGTTTAAATGTGTTCCACGATTACGCCAATCCCTGGCGAAAATAAAAAGTAGAGCGTAAGTTGAATGTAAGGGAAGAATAACAAAAGCGTAAACAAAGAAGACATTCAAGAAGTATAAATTCGAACAACGAATTGAACTAAAAAAAGCATAAAAGAAGCGTTTTAATTCTTTACGTACCATTGTTTTAATCCATTCTCTTTTTAATGGTTGTTTTGACATTCTTCCTTTACATTCAACTTACGCTCTACTAAATTTTTATTTTCGTTAGAGGTATATTAGTAGCAAATTTCATAAAAATAAATTGACTGATTAGAATTTACTGACAGGATTTGACAAGAAGCTGACAGGAAAAAATTTATAGCTGATACTTTGCAAAATTTCTTTATGATAAATTTCTGGATTCAAGATTTAACTGATTCAAGATTTAAGAAGAGTGGTTTTAACTTTGGCTAGCTACTGGTTAGCTACTTGGCTAGCTAGTGTAAGAAAGTAATGGTATATTGATGGCACTGTTGATAGCACAAACAACAGCCTGTTGAATATATGTAAATTTAAGTAATTACTAGGCAACAACATTCAGCCATTATCAGCAATTACTAGGCAACAACATTCAGCCATTATCAGAGAAATCAACTCTGTAGTTCAGTATATTTTAAGTTATTTATAATTACTATTTGTTTCTTGTTCCAGCTTTAACGACAGCAAGTTAATTTATTGCTTTTAAAAGCAGATATTCTTCAAGCAACCATCAGTGAGCAAGAAGAAAATATTACAGAAAATTTACAAAAAACCCAGCCATCAAAAGTTGATCGGAATAATATTTATTTTATATACAATTAACTTCTATAAATTTGCAACATAAAGTTAATCTATAATCATGTCGACCGATTTTAATTTCACGTAGATTCTATTTTGTCCTTTTCTCTACAAAATTTTGTAAAATTACAATATCGTTTTGAGAATTCTTTCCTGAATGAGAATATTAATCATTGGCAATTATTCGATTCTAAAATAGTATATGCAAAAGTGTAAGTCATTACGTTTCCAAAGAAGTTAAAAGTGATTTTTTAACTTCTCTTGAGAGTTTAATAGAGTTCGTTTTCCTAAATTCTTTCTTTGTTTACAGTCTTTGCAAGATTCCATTTCCATAGTTTCTAAGTCTACAGAGTAGATTTATAAGAAATACTCCAGAGTATCAATAGTAAAATAACGTCAATGCTATTTCTCACTCAATAATGTAATATGTAAATATAGTACACGTTATGTAACAGTCACGTGATTCTTGAATGGAGAATTATAAACTTGATGTTACGCCAATCAAGATGCTATCAAGTTAGTTAGTATGTACTATAGATTTCAGATGAAAGGTTCTTTTGAATAGCACAAAAAGATATTTCATAATCTCATTGTCAGTAGCCAGAGATAATGCATCGCACGTTTGATTATGTCCGGGAGTGATTGTGAGTCTGAAGAAAAAGCTAAATTGGCATCGAGTCCTCTGGATACAGCATTTAGTTCCACATCAGCATCTTGGTAAAATGTAAGATATAACATTATTAGATATACAGTATTTTACTATATTTCCTGGCAACTAAATTTTTTAAAATAATAAGCGATAAAATTATTTCGCAAAGAAGAAATACATCTTATTTGATCCAATAGCTGTAATGATCTAAACAAATTATCAACAATTACGTATATTGGTAGCAAATTTGATTAAATAAATTGGCGTTAGGATATACTGATAGAATTGGACAGAAAACTGACAGCAGAAAATTACTCATCAAATACTTTGCAATATTTATTCTGAATAAGTTTTTACTTTATAAAAATTTTAGAAGAAAATAATTCTACTTTTGGTTAACTACGTTGTGCCTATTAAAAAGTAATAATAATTGCCGGTGATACAAATAAAGCCTCTGAATGTGTAAATTCAGATGATCATTCAGTCATTATTATAATGTGTAAATGCTAAGTTATCAACAGTGTTAGTGTTTTTTTTTATTCAATCTCTAACAATAGTGAATTATCTTTTAAAAGCAGACGTTCTTCCGCAGTGATTAAGCAGAAAGGAAATATTATAGAAGGCTTACAAAAGAGCTATAACAGAGCACAAAAATATATATATTGACGAAATAATTAGTATAAACTTGTATAAATTTGCAACATAAAATTAATTTATAATCATGTCGACCGAAGCGTTTTCTGGCAAAGTTTTTTTACTGATAACCGGAGCAAGCCGTGGTATCGGTCGGCAAATTGCGATAACATTTGGTTCGCTCTTAGAGGAAGATTCTCGTATGCTTTTATTAGCGAGAGATAAAAATGCGTTGGAAGAAGTTGCTAAACTTATCCCTCCCAAAATAAAAGTTTGTACCATTAATGCAGATTTGAGTAAAGCAACTAAAACCGACTTTGAAAGTAAGTATTCGTTTCCAAAATCAAACGTATAGCTCATAAACACGATTGAAAAAACAACTTATTTTATTTTCTTGATGTTCTAGGATTCATATCGGAATGTTTGTGCGGAACTCCTTGCAATGCATTCGATCGATTGATCATAATGCATAATGTAGGTGCGCTGGGTAATATCACTCATACTACGAACAAGATGCTAGATATCGACACTTGGAGACAACATTACGATCTGAATTTATTCATACCTGCCATATTAAACGCGGTGATCATGAATACATTTGATGATAAAACTATCAAGAAGATGATTATTAACATAACTTCCTTATTTGGTATTCAAGCAACCAAAGGCTACGCTTACTACTGCTCGGTGAAGGCAGCACGGGAAATGTACTTTAAGGTATTATAAATATATCTTCTTGTTCCCAGAAACTTGTAATAAATATATATTTTGCAGTTATTTCTCTTTTATTACAGGTTTTTGCTTTAGAAAATCCCGATGTTAATGTATTAAGTTACGCGCCAGGAGCTGTCGATACTGATATGTTGAATTTTGCGTGTGAATTTTCTATTGATTCCGAGACTAAAGAGTTCTTTCATGAGATACGAAAAATCACGTTGACCCCAGAGCAGACTGTCAATCGTCTTGTGCAAGTTTTGAAAGAACAAAAATATAAATCGGGCGATCGTGTGGATTATTATGATAAGATATGAAGTATAGATATGAAGAACAACAAGTTTTGTTAAGACGTAAAAAATAATTAAAAAAGATAATTAATATTTTTTTCTTTATTAGCTTTTTAAGCAGTCAAAAGCTGTAATTATTATTGTTCAGCGAAAGCAGCGCGAGAAATGCATTTTAAGATATAAATACATTTTCTCATCCACACAAATTCGAAATAGATATATATATATAGGTTTTTGCTCTAGAAAACCCTGATGTTAATGTATTATGTTATTCACCGGGAACCGTTGATACAAATATGTTTAATTTCGCATACGAATCTAAAGTATATTGATCCCGATACTACGAAATTTCTTTACTACCTGCGAAAAACAATAATTATTCCAGAGCAGACTGTCAATCGTCTTCTGCAAATTTTGAAAAAGTTTAGGAAGATAAGAAATAAAAAGAAAATAAAATATAACTTTTTAATGAAATTCATTTTTTTTCATATTAAAGATAAGTTTATTCTGTTTAAAAATGTAATGTAA